CGCTCTTCTGTTTGCTTCCTGAAAGGCCCTGGAGTTGCTGGTTACCTTACTGCAGGGACGACATCATCTGTAATGCCCAACGTACCACCCCCGGTAGACAATGAAGTCGGAGATGTCAGCTAAGGACTGGAAATTCTTGTGAAAGAGACAGAAAGGCAGACTGGCCAGTGATGAGGAACGGCACTTTCCTCCAACACATTGAAGTGAACTTACTGCCTTTCCAAGTGTTTAATGACAGTGTTATTCCTTTTCTATGACTGTTTTGTTGGGATTTTTTTTTTTTTTTTTTTTAGGAAAAAGTGATTCTAACTATCACACTGTAACACAAGAAAGCACTCTGTGGATCAGCTGAAATGGGTACACAAGAATTTTTTTTCTTGTTGTACATAAGCACATTTTGTTCCTTTATATTTGTTTACAAGACTGTGAATCAAACTTTCCTAGTTTTTATATTTTATGAATTAGCATGACTGGAGTTGAGCTACAGTCGAGGAATTGGGCTAAAATCACTTTGACCTCACCGACACCTCCCCCACAAAAGGGCAGCCCTTCTTTCCCCAGTCTGATGTGATCACTCCCATTGAACGTGACTTGCAAAGGGTTTGTCCCTGCACCAGTTCACTGATGTCCTTAATCATTAACATTATCTTCTTCCTGAGATCAAACAGCACTAGACATTCGTATGTATAACTGGCTTGACCAAATTGACAGAGCTTCAGCAAAAAAAAACCTTAAAGTTGACATGTTATGTAAGAAATTAGTGTAATTGTGAAATGTTCTATACGCTATCCAGTATATAAAAACTTTCTATATTGAGTGTACATTATACAGATCATTCATATGTACATAAAATTTTAAAATAAAGGGAATTAAGAGCCTTGTTAATGAGATAAGGTGGTGGTCTTTGAAGGTGTGGGGAAGGGCAGCCAGAGACCTTAATTTGAGTGTGGCCAAACGGGGTTCCTGGGCATTCTTGCTGGGAAAAACATGTTGCACAGGTTTTGACGGCCTGGAGCAGACCTCCTAAAGCACAGGGAGGGGTGCAGGGCAGGCTGGTGTGTATCTGAAATGCACTTCAGCCACTGACTGTCACTCTCGACTTCCTAGGAACCATTCTTGGCAGGAATCAAGAGGAAGCCAAGACAGATGGAAATATGATCGATAATTATTGTTTTCTCAAACGGGATTATAATCTTTTCTTAGGTATAATGAATTGATATGAGGTAAGAAACTGATCTGTGGAAAGCTTCCAGTTCTAGGAACTCTGAAACTGTACCACCCTGGCTGCCTTCAGCAGCCTTTGCGGGACACCCTGCGGGCAAAACGCTCGGCTGTAGGCTCCAGGGCGGAACGGGCTGGGGCCCCATCCTGAAGACTGAGCCAAGCAGGGCTTCTTCTCTCCATGCCCCAATGCTGTGCTAGGCTGGTTGGTTTGTTCCTGAGAAAAGCAAGCACTTGTATTCAGAGTTAATTGTTAATCATCCCTGTAGAAGTTGAAAAGTGACTGTCCTACCTTTACAGGACATAGAACTACCTGTGGTGCAGTGTGCTGTGACCTGCCTGGTTCTGTTACTGTACGACCAAGGAGAGGCTTGTTGGAGATGCAGAGCTGAGGAACTCTGACCCTTCAGACCTTCACAAAGGTGCATTGGGCAGAAATGGCAGAGCCTGCTTTGGCAGCAGCAGAGGCTGTGCGCTGCCCTCTGCCACTCGCTGCGGGTTCCAGCCAAAACCTCAGCTCTTCAGAGGGGAAGGTGCCACTGAAACTTAGGCATAGTTAAGAAAGGGGCCAGGACCTGGGTAGGCTTGTGAGGAGGCACAAAAGGAGACACAAAAGGGAAGATGCAAGGGAAGACAAAAGGGGCACTTAGAAGGAAAAACATGAGGAGATGTGTTTGCCAAAACAAAGCAGAGGTAAGCAGCAAGGAATAGCAGACAAGCGGCTGCAGCCTGACTGTGGCCTGGTGTGAGGGGAGGCAGGGGAAGGACTGAGTGTAGCCCTGGTAAAAAGGAGTGCAGCTGAAAGCAGGAACTGGGGAGGAGAGAGCTGGGCTGAGGCTGAGCCTTGGAAAGGGAAAAGAAAGGCATTACCCTGAGGGTTTAGTTGTAATTTAATCAATAATTAAAAGTTTATCCTAGCTTGTAATAAAGTAAATTGGGTGAAACTGCTGAGTCAAAACTGCTTTGGCTACAATAAAAGGATAAAGAGGGCTTTGGCTCAGAGCAAATAAAGCACTTTAGGCTTGTTAGGAAATAGGTTTTATTTAGTGTTAATAAAGAACCCAGACAAATCCTGGTATTTACATGGCATTCTGCACATTTTTAAAAGCCAGCCTCTGATTAGTAGATGTAATAATTACAAGTAAAGAGTGAGAGAATATGTATTGCTTCAAGCTAGAATCAAGTTCTTGTAGTCATCCGATTTTACCTTAAGCAACACTATTGCACAGGACAAAAGCTTTCCTAAATCTTCCATCCATTTGGGATGGCTTTATGCTGGCGTTACATTTTTGCCGTTAGCTTCTTTGACTGATCAAGCAGTTCCCACCTTGCAATTGTTGAGAGATGAACTTCATCGGGCCCATCTGCCAGGCGCAAGGTCCATATATAGGCAAACCTGTGCCGGAAGAGCTGGATTAGGGTAGGTGTCTAATCCCGCCACAGCAGCTGGTCTGACAGCAGGAGTTCTCAGCACTATTTTTTGCTACAGCCCTCCCTTTAGCAGCAGTCTCTCTGAAAAGAGCTGTCACACAGGAGACGCTGCAGGAAAAGGGGCCTGGCAGGACTGAGGCGCGTGGGCTGGCACTGCAGGAGGCTTGCTGCTCCCCAAGGCCAGAAGGGATAAGACTGAGCTTTAGAAACAAATCCTCTGTGTTGCTGCTAAGACCTTTTTAGGTCCAGTGCTGCTGGTTGGTTTGGGGTTTTTTTGGGGGGTTTTTTTTTGGTAAGGGTCAAGCAATGCAGTTGCATTGGATTGAATTGTAACAAGTGTTTTAAGTTTTACATCTTAAAGGCATAGAGACGAATGAATTATAAAAACACTTGTTTTAAGTTTTACATCTTAAAGGCATAGAGACCATTATTTCAGGCTACCTGAGGTGAAACAGCATGTACGGGGTGTTATAAATTACCTGAAAAGGAATGCCTAGAGGTTACAGCTAAGCCTCCCTTACTCACATAGAAGCCAAAGGAAAATCCTGGGAAACTCCAGCTCCGCCACACACTTGGATTGCGCAGTCAATCACTTTAAGCACAGCTCGAGGGACAACCACTTTGGTCATGGCTACCTGTAGTTAGAAGAGAACCCATGTTATCAGTAACAGTTTCATAAGCAACTGATAAATGTTTATCTAACAGTTCTGCTGAAGACTGGTATCCCACGGTGCATTCCTTCTGCTTTGGAGTGGATGAGAGCTCTGCTGATCCTGTTCCCTAGGTACACCTGTTTCCAGGGGAGACAGTCACCCAAAACTCTCATTGTGTTGAGACAAATGAGCAATACGTGAACCCCTTTAATTTTTAAATACTTTATCAGATCGATCTCAAAGGTTTTAACTGAGAGCACTTGCCCATCGCATGATAAGCGAGAGCCCATCTATTTCAACACGAAGTCATGCTCTACGATTAGAAGGGTAAATTCTAGCAATATGTTTTAGTTTACATTTTAGCCAGGTGAATGCACAGGTATTGCATCCCCAAGTCCTAGCCTAAGGCTGGCGAAGACAAATTTACCTCTTTCCTTGCTTTTCTATTGCCCAACATGTCGATCTTGCTGGCTGTTTTTAGTGTAAGCAGTCGAGCCTGTTCTATGCTGAGGCGGCATTCAGCAATCCAGTGGGCAACAACTTCCTGCGGAAACCAAAGCCAAGAAGCAGAAACTCAGTCAATGCCTCCTTGTGTGTCTGGGTGAACCTGCCCTGAGGAGCCTGCCCCTATAGCACGGTCAGTTGTTCAGTGACATCCTTGTGCACATCAAAGCTTGTTTGATGCAGGTAAAAAAAGGGGGGGGGGGCGGAGGAAAAAAACAAAAGGCCTGGCTGACATAAACACCAACAACAGAGCAGTTCTTTTCCGGGCAGGAAAGAGGCTAAAGGGGCAAAACTCCCAATTCTGGCACGCTCTCGTTTCCTGGTCAGACCCACTGCCTGCTGGCCATTTTCCTGAAGCCCTTCAAAGCCTGCTTTTCTACTCCCTGCGTTCCATTACTCTGCTACCTGGGTAGCCATCTCTCTGCGTAACATGCCTCAGTGTACAAAATTCAGGGGGTGAAAGAGGAGAGCAATCTGTTCTGTTTTGCTTAAACTACTGGTGGCGGTATGTTACACACCCAGGCGAACAGCTGCAGGGTGGTGCCTGCTGCATCTGTCTCTTCATGTTGATGACAAATGAGTAGCTCCCTCGATCCAAACAAAGTTATGGTCTTGGCAGCCCTTCCCTACTCCTCTTGCCTAGTTCCCATCTGCAGCCAACATACCACAGTAGGGGAAAAAAACCCCAAAACACGTTCATGTGGTGCTTGTCAGTGCAAAAGCTGTTAGGAGCCTGACCAGCTGCGGGCACATGCTCCTGCCTGGAGTGTGGATGTTGTGGGTTTGGCAGCCACAGGAGGCACGAGCAAACGTGCAGCACTTGCTTCAGCACAAAGTCTGGGGGTTCCGCTCAGCTCGTGCCAGCAAAGGTGGTCTGAACCCGGGTGGAGGTGTTCAGACATGCTCTTCTGCTGACAGGTCACAGGGGTTGCAACTAACTGCCGTGTGGGTGGTGCTGACAGTCACCCGAGGCAGCCAACAGCCTCGCCTCTTCCTTAGCTATCCCAGAGCTGTGAAGAACCTACGCTGGCTCTGCAGCTGGCCTCCAGGTCGTGTCTGTGGCTTCATCAAACATCAGTTTTACTTTAACGAGCTTCTGAGAAATGGAGTGCGCCTCATCCAACTTGTTAATTCTAGATTATGGTCATGAATGGAAGTTTGGCAATGACGTGACTGGAAAATGGATATGTAAAATTCCCTCTGGATCTGTACAAACAATTTTCTGTAACCCGTGCCAGACACTAATTCAGTTTCCTCTTTCCGTTGCCTTTACTTGTTTTTTCCAATAAAGTCATCTTATCTTGTTGGATAAGACTCAGGAACACTTGAAATGAGATAGCCAACTACTAAATGCTCATGGTTCCTACAAAAAGCAGACCAATATATTTTTTATCATTCTAGCAAGCTCTCTCTCATGAAACATCATTTCAACTCCAAAGCAAGATAAGACCAAAAATCCCGATATGGCCTGTACTTTCATGAGTAAGTACAAATAATTGATCAGAGAAGTAAATTTTTTAGTTAAATCTAGACCCTTGAGTGTCTCCAGAAATCATGAATTGAGATGTCTAGGTGACAAATTCCATACACAAAAATGGTGAGTTCAGATTGTAACTAAATAAACACAAACTATATGCCTGAAAAAATACCTGTCCAAACGGATCAGTGAAAGCAGAGAAAAAACTATGGTGGCAAAAATATTCAAATCCAGCAAAGGCTATCCAATTCATTGCAAGGGAAAAAAAAATCCCATAGGTTATAGTGAAAAATGGGAGCCTCGCAATGTGATTTTTCCCTTTGCCACCTGAGGCACTCCGAATAGGAATTCAAGGTTAGGGCACATCTATAGCAGTGTCCATTATCAGAGTCACAAGGTTCTGCGTGGGCAAAACAAAGGCTGATGTCTGGAGCACGTGAGTGGAGACAGAGGGAACATGCTTACGTGGTGATAGAGTTTCTTCCCAAAAGCCTCTCTCTGTGCTGCACGCTGGCACATTATCTGTAAAGCGGTTTCAGCTGCACCAAGGGACCTCATGCAGTGATGAATACGGCCTGGCCCCAGCCGACCTTGAGCTATCTCAAACCCCCTGCCCTCACCTGGTTGGAAAGAAAAACAGGCACATGTAGACTCCATGATTCCCGCTTGAAATGATCCATGGCTCTGAGCGGAAGTGGCCTCATAGCACTGGAGCTAGAAGCAAGCTTCTTAAAAGTTCATTTTGCGGAACTGTTGCTTGTTTACTCCAACTAGATCTATACTGACACACTCTTAATAATACTTACAGCACAAAGCACACCCTAAGATGGTTTCTGAGGTTTGATTTACTGGATTTAATTTAAATGTTGTTAATCTTACACTGAAAAATTTATCTATGAGATTTGGTATGAGAATTTGCGGGAAGACTTTGAGGTTTCCAGGTCACAGGGCTACTCAAGAGAGAAAGCTCTTTCAGGGAAATACAAATAGCAGAGAGGAAATACTACTACAAATTCTGGTGACTTCTAAGTGAGAGAAGTAGAACGAAGTTCTTCCTGCAGAAGGTCACAGTGTTGGCCTGCTCATTGATTCTTTTTTTTTTTTTTTTTTTCAGTTCTGCTAAGTCTGCAGGCACCCTGGCTTGGACAGCATGGACTACAGAACGCTCTTTTTGAAAGAGTCTGTGATGTCTATGAAAATTGGTTTTAGGCAAAGAACGCCACTGACAGTTTCTGCTGTGCTCTGCCCGAGCGAAGTCATTTTCACATGATTGATAGCTACAGCTGCCCTGCTTCCTTCATCACCTTTCTGCTCTAAACCCAGTTATATTCAAGCAGCAGGTAGACTGCTAAAGGAGGAGTGGGCTCCCTCTTACATGTGTTTGAGACCCTGGCTCGACCAACCATAGCCAGACACACTTTATCTAAGGAATCCCCCATAAGCTATTTATGATAACTTATGGCGATTCATAAAATAAACCACCATGGCATAAAAGTTGGTTCATTGCTGTATGCATTAAAAAGGAATTAATACCGAAACTCACCTAGTATTATATTGGAGACAGGTACTTGCACATCATTAAAGTGTATCTCAAAATGTCCTCCGTGGATCTCATCTACCAGGACAGAGAAAACACAACAGCAGGGTAAAACAGAGGATAAAAGTACCCTTTTTCTGTATATGCATTTTACTGATTTATTTCATATACAATACTTATTAGTATTACTGCAACTCCTGAGATTGCTAAAAATTAATACACATAGAGCTGATAAATATTATCATCTACCCAGGTAGCCAAACACTGAGAGGGGTCTTATCAGCTTCAGCCCTGGAGCGTCCATGGGAACAATGATCATACTGTGCTGCTCGTACCTGATCAAGACAAAATGCACAAGTTGCAATTAACTCTGAGCCTCCCTTTTTTTTATTTTCTGTCCTCAATTTAGCACTCGCATAAAGCCAATGTTGATATTTACCCACACTGATTACAGCCCTCCTGCCCGCATGCAGCGTGGTGTGCATGCATCAACACTCCTTCAATCACCAGTCAACAAGCAAAAATGTGCTACTATTGCACCACGACCAAAACCCTACTACTTCTGCCACTTCTGTGCAAGTACTGCTCTATCACCCAGTCCATTTCCTCCCTCCCTCCCCTACCCCCCCCCCCCACCCCTTTTTTTTTTTTTTTTCGTTTATCATCATCATCTTGGTTTGCCTATAGTTTAGGAAAAAAATCCCCATGTTTAAATTTCTTTGGAATATTTAAGGTCAGTTAGTAGTCACACAGAACTGAGCGTGACATCCCAGGTCCCTCAGTTCAGTCTCCAGTTCTAGCAAGTGCAGTATCACGTAATTCCCTCCACAAACTTCCGTTCAGCTTTAAAGAGGTCAACAGATGCCACTGTCTGTACAGCCCCTGGACAAACCATCCGGTATGCTTAAGCAAGTTATTGTTTGCTTCTCAGTGGGACCTAGCCAAATCTAAAAACTTAAGATAATCAGTGGAATTTGGGCTAAAATCCAGCTTAGAGATATAAATGTTCCAATCCTTCTGTATTACAAACTGTGTGATTTTAATGGGAGTCAGTCACGATGCGTTTTATTCATCACTTGTGTAAGTCTTTTTAAAGGCAATTTTAGATTGGTAATAACAGTCGAACAACATATTTGTTATAAACAAGAAGAAGGAAGTATTCTATGTGCACATGTAGGAATGGAACGAGTAGGCCTGACTAAAGATGTGCAGTGTGCTCACACAACTTCATATAACAAACATCCCATGTTTCAGACTTAACTTTCTACATGTACAGATAACTTTGTGAAAAACTTAGTAGATAACTTCAGGTCTTTGATGTGCCACTGGTGGTCATTCTGTTCAGGCAAGCTCTGAAAAGATTTGGGTTTATTATCGTTTAAGCAAGCAATTCTTACTCTTGTTAATTCTTTTATATGCTATACTTACAAAATAAATTGTAAGCCAGAGATAGCTCTTGGTTGAACAACAGATGCAGATTAAAAATAATGTGACCAAGATAAAGTTAATGAACCCCCAAAAACTTCCAGATCCTATTCGTTACACAGCTGCACGAACACCTAGAGCTAGTGCAGTGGAGGAGGGGAAGCATGCGGATGCAAGCTGGTGACAGTGAAAAGGTTGGGAGGCTTCAGTCATCAGCAGCTGACAGCAAAACAGGAGCTTGGTCGGCAATCTGTTTCTCTGAACAGACACACGCACAAGTTTAAAACTCCCCTGTAATTCACAAGCACATCCAACTGATCAAGGCAAGTAAAGGTATTTCACTTAAAATTTTTGCAAGCAGTGACTCCTCCAGGAAACGAGTTTCAGGCAGCTCTCAATCTCCTAGAAATCCTTACCTGGATGCTGAGGAGTTTTTGGTTTTGCCCATTACAATTGCAACTTTGCAATTTGGGTTCCCAGCACCTTAAAAAAAAAATCACAAAGACAAAAATAGTTTTCAATATAAAAACCTCAGTGTAGAATCACATGAAGTGTCATACAAATAAATTTTCCTTCCTTTCATGATACAGTAGCAAAAGCATGCAATCTACTTCTGTGTTTATACTCTGAGTAATCAGACCAAACCAAAATATATCTTATTCCTTAACATGTAAAAAGGATTTGGCTTGTGGGGAAGAGACCAATGAAAAGCCAAACTTCCAAACCCCATCATCTATTTCTATGAAAAGAGAACAAGGTGGTACTTGAAATGGAATATAATTACTTCCACCTCCATTACAGCTAAGCAAAGAAGCGTGATACAAAAGGACACCTCAAGGTGAGATGTTGACATTTCAAAAGTAAAACCTCTTAAAATGCTGATCCCATTATAACCAAATTAGGCAAATAAGGCTATCAAAGGGTTACCACAGTGACTTTGCCACTATTTCATCGTAACTTCGCTGGAATTAAGGTTTTTTCCCCCCTCTATGCAAATGATTTTAAGTTAGCACCTCAAAGCAAGATGTGAGTGGAAATCATTACCTGAAAATAATCTGCTAGCATTTCAAGCCATTGATAACATTATTTGATACAAGTCTTTGTAGCATAAAGCTAGCATTTTAATGTACAAGTCCTAAAGAAGATTCTAACATCAATTAAAATGGCATCTTATTTCTAAGCGCCTTAATCCTCACTCTCTTTTTCTTTAAGGGTTTCTTAGTACCAAAGCATGCTCTTATTCCTTTCAAAGACCCACACAGACAATAAAGCTAGGGAAAAGGGGGCAGGATTATACCAGATGTATGTAACGATCAGTAAATTTTTTATTGCTATCTCAATGCAGACAGCAAGCTCCGCAGAGATTTAATTTGAGATTTGATCTGCACCAACTCAGTTTGTTTTGAGGTGAGAAACAGAGATGACTTTTTAACTTCTCTGGCAGCTGTTATCACAAGGTTTAGGAGCCTTTGGTCTAGACAATACAACCACCTGGTTTTGACCTGAGGTACTTCCTCCTAATAACAGCCACCGCCATGGCCGGGAAGTGGGACAGAGATTTATTTCATTCTGATAAACACTGCCTGTTTTGAGGGCCAGACTGCTGGCTGTTTACTTTCCTCTTTTGCAATATGCTATTCATCCATTGTTTTCAAAGTGGGGTTATATTTGTGGTCCGTGAGCTGTACAATCCTAATCAACTAAAATATCCGAGTGAAAAGCTGAGGGGGAATAAATCAGCTTGGTGAAAAAAAAAAAAAAAAAGAAGAAAGGTAGACCTCAAACACCTCATTTGGGCCACTGCAACAAGTGGGCGACCAACTCCAAAATAACACTGCATGTGCTTTGCAATGTACTACCCTGCAAAGAGAAATGCTGCACTCCTAAGGGGTATTTGACTCTTTGCCTTTTCCATAGAAGGTAAAGAATTACACAAGTGGTATTTTCTAAACCACATTTATCTTGAAGTGAGGTTTACAACAAAAGATACTTTGAGTTTCTGGAGTCTCTTCAAAAACCACTTTGTAAACAATCCTCAAGTCACATCCCTGCTTCAAAAAAAGGCAAATGTTGTATGAAAAAAAATCAGAAGTTTTCATGTTGAACTTAGTGAGGAGTTCACGGAGAGCTAGATGTCTGGTTACAGGCTCTAAATCATTAGTACAAGTTTCTGGAAGGCAAATGCATCTCTATTTCATATGTACTTTTTCCCATTTGAACACAGCAAGTGAAGGCAGATTCCTGGCCTTTCCACTCCTTAGAGTCTGAAGTTCTGAATATCCAAAACAAATTTCATGCAACTTTGACCCATGAACACCAAAAAGAAGTTCTCATCTAATGTAAGACTCTGAAGGACTCCAGTGCTTCAGAAGAAATGCAGACCGCCTGGATGGAATAAATCTCTCATTTGTACATGGCATTTTCACATTACTTACAGAATTAAAAGAAGCTGCTGGTGGATGGGGGAGAGGGAGAAGCCTGTCATTTTGGCAGGAGTTATAAGTAGTTTTGCAAGAAACTCACACTTGAACAAATAGAAATAGAGATTTTAGAGGGTCAGTTTTAAGCATATTTCCATATTGATAAGCTTTTTAATAAGCTTTTTCATATATACATGTTTGTACAACCTGTCCAAAATTTTTAACCCACAATGCTGCTACATTGAGAAGCACTGTAAGTTTAACTAACGTATTATATTTTTTAACTCTTCATAGCACTCACATAGGCAAAGACAATGATATTTTAAAATGTGCTTAGAGGGTTGATTACCATCCTATTAGAAGCCTCATATTTGTTATCAGGGGTGTATCATGGTTAAGATTACTGATCTTCACACAATCAACTTATACAGGTTCTTTCTGGTGGAAAGGAGTAAACGTGGCACAGACACAAACAGTACAACCTTGCCTTAAAGAAGCTGCCATATAACCTGGTTTCAGAAGCCAACAGCACTTAATTCTTGCAACCTAGTCATCCATTTTTCAGTGTCCATGGATGGAATAGCATCTTTTTATTTTTCTTCTACAGTATCTGCTTGGCTTGCAGTTTCTGTAGCAATATTATTAAACACTAACTTGATTATGAGTCTGACTAGTAACATTCAAGCCGCTGAGAGGTCTCCCTCAGGATGCAGGACCTCCTGCTCACACTCGGGTTGACGATTTACCACTTGCTTTCACATCTTTTCCCTATCATCTTCCTGGTTTTGTTCAATAGCACATACTGAAAGAGCAACCTCCCCTATCTTAGAAAAAGCAAACTCATCTTTCTATTGTATCCCCTGAAAAGTTGCTCAAGAAGGGGATATAAGGATCCCTTAAAACCTTAGAGAGGCAGCCATCAAAAGCACAGTAGTGTCCTGAGGAAAGAATATAGTGACGCCATACAGGTAACTCGGCCCCAGACAGACCTCCCCCTCTTTCTCTCCTTTTCAAATTTGAAATGTGTGATTTCCTAAAAGCCTTTAAATTATGTAAAAAACACATCTGGACTTTCAGGAATAAAACAACCAACAAGACAGTGAAATAGTAAGAGAGCCTTGATCTTCCAAAGAAGAAATCTAGTATTCTAGTCAGAACAGGGAGGAATGTAGGAAATGTACGTGTTCCAGACACGGAGAGTTTATTGTCTTTTTTTTTTTTTTTTTTTTTTTTTTTCCAACTGGCAAGTCAAAACGAAAGTGCAACTGACTTCCAGATGAGGGTGTGGTGCTTGAAGACAAAATGCAATGTGTCAGGCCAATTCAGATCATTTCACTGAAGCCCATCTCAATTGCAGTATCTGCTACTAGTCTGCTGACAAAAGGTTAGTTCTGTTTTAATATTTACTGATCTGTATATTAAGTGTGATATACTTACCTTATTTACATAGAGAAGAGCTAGTATTTACTCTTTGTTACGCTGGCTTTACAGAGAGACATGATTTCACTAAGTCACATGCTCATTTCCAGTCTTAAAATTAGATTTGTTCAGTAGAAGAACAAAATACTGCTTAATTTATCACAGAAAAAAAATGTGTTTAAACTGGGGATATTAACTTCACTCAACATGTATTCATACAATCCCATGTCAAGTTTAAACACACAGAAACACTGAATTTGTATCTAAATGGGAAGCTGGAATAATTCTGCAAGAAAACATGCAAAGCTGTCTGTTAATATATCTATTAATATACCTCCTAGGAAACAGTAGTTGAAAAAACAGCTGAGGTTCTCAACTGTTTGGGTACTCGGCGGGCAGTTTTGTATGTGATAAAATTCCTTTCTCTGCATAACATCCTGAGAAGTCTCCAGCTGTAAGATGCGGTGTACCCACAGCAATTTGATTCTGTAAGAAATTTCACATGGGCATAAGGCAGCTTGCTGTGTGGGACGGAGACTAAACTAAGCCTGTTCCACCGCTGTTCAGCACCTGGCTCCCGTGGGACTGCTCTGCTTCATGCAATGGGCACGCATATGTGCACCTGAGAAACAACATTAACAGGACCACCAAATATGAAACGGTATGTTAGCCAAAACATAACTGTTTTTAAGGGACAAATATCAGCTGTTGCCTTTTAGATAAATTTGATTCCATCAAGAACTCAGGTCAGCCAAAAGCGTATCAGACAGCAGAGCATGTTCTTTGTCACAGCCAAACAGCTTTGTGATACGCAGACTTCTTGAAGTTTGCACTGAAATGTTTATTGTTTTGCTTTCAAGTAAATTTGCCAGTGATCCAATTTGAATGAGCATTCCCAGATGGCTTCTCTAATAACTGTTCTAGACCACAACCGAATCTTTTCAGTTTTAATTTTCTACTGATCTTGGCTAAGTGGATTAAACTCTCCCTGCGGTTTCTCTTCTAATAAAAAAAAAATTATATATATATAGAATATATATATAAAAAATCAAAACTTGCAGCTGATGTCTGAATCTGTTCTTGAAGTACTGCAAGGCTGCAGAAGATTATCCCTGCTGAAAAATCCTGCTAACGCAGCTTGTTAGGCATAGAATAGACATCCCTTGCCGAACTAACAAATAGAATTACTGTATTTTTCCATTCTGCACACCTCATTTAGGCAACAGTAAATGACAGATTGCAACACCTAAAATAAAAGTAATCATTGTTTAAAGTTTTATAGGCAGTGTTTTGAAATGTTAACAAGGTAATCCAACAAAGTCATTAAGGGTGAAGCCAAACCAAGTACTTAATATCTAACTAACACACTTTCAAAAAAAAAAAATCAAGCAAAAATAGAAATTATTAATTTCTTTCTGTTTAGTTGGTCTGCATCCCTGAATATGAGATCAATCAGTAACTTATTTTTCCTAGTAGACAGAACACATTAAAAACATTTTTAAGAGATACTGTTTATAATAAAGGTTTGGCAACCCTTCATTTAAACCTTTGTCTAAAATCCAGAAACGGTATTTAGAGTTTTTTCAAGCTTGAAAAAGCCAAGCTTGAAAAAGCTCTGGGGCAGAATATTAGATAAGAGTCTGCTTTCAGTAATATTGGCCTCAAATTCTGAAATACTGCAGATGATTAGAAAGAGGAATGTGGTTTTCATTCTCAGCTACTTTTTGCTACTGCTGTTAAGAAATCTTAATCCCCTTTATTTCAAGAAAACAGGGCACTGCAAGACGGTACTTTACAATATAAAGAATTTCAGCAAATTAGTCAATGAACACAATTACAGAAAAAGAAGAAAAGAAGACACAACTTGCTTAAGACACAGTGTGAAGATATGAACGCTCAAACTTCAACCCTAAACTGGCAGTGAGAACACAGCCTTAGTGTTTACAGAGTAAATGTCTCATGAGATAGTACTTGAACAAACAGCCAAGGTTCTGAGCTGTTTGGGTACTTGGGGGCATTTTTGTATGTGATAAAATTCCTTTCTGTGCATAACATCCTGAGAAGTCTCCAGCTGTAAGATGCAGTGTACCCACAGCAATTTGATTCTGTAAGAAATTCCACGTAGGCATGGCTCACTGTGTGGGACAGAGACTAAACTAAGCCTGTTCCACCACTGTTCAGCAACTGACTCCACTGCTGTGCTTCATGTAATGGGCATTTATATGTGTGCTTGAGAAACAAACAAGCACACTCGCCCTATATTATACTCATAATCCAAAATTGCCAAAATTCATGATAGTAGGCAGAGAATACAGAAGGCACAGCTTGCCTCTCAGCTTTAATCCACTAGTATGCCTTATCCACTCTACTGTAGTAGCATTTACAGCCTTCAGCTGGTACTCCTTTGCTTTGCAGAGGCTGTAGAGAGCATCTTGCAATCTCAAACACTAAGGTTAATGAAAGCATTTCAGTTGAATTCATTTTACTTTGCATTGCACACACAGATGTAGTCAGTTCCACCATTTCATGTGAGAATTTGAGACGGTCTGTTCTGCCTCCGTCACTGTCTAGCTCTACTTTGATTATTTATGAATGTATTGTCAATATCCAACTTCTTTAAACTTGAGATGTATAAGCAACCCTGAGCAAGGGGTTTAGGTTTCAGCAGAAATTGTAAAACTTAAACCCAGTATTATTTCTTTGGTGTACCCTTCTCCCCCCTTTTTTTGTGTCTTGTAGCTTTGCCATGGGCTGGGATATGAATAACTCAGCTGATTACTGGATGGAGGATGAGGAGGATGATCTCAACTCTGTTATAGATTACAATACATATGAGCTTCTCTGTGAAAAAAGTGATGTGAGGAATTTCAGTAAATTGTTCCTTCCTGTGTTCTATGCATTGGCTTTCACCATTGGAGTCGCTGGAAACTCATTAGTGGTCGCAATTTATGCCTATTGCAAGAAACCGAAGACAAAGACGGATGTGTACATCATGCACCTAGCCATTGCTGATTTGCTCTTGCTCTTCACACTCCCTTTTTGGGCTGCAAGTGCAGTGCAGGGATGGGAACTTGGAAACTCAATGTGCAAGCTCACTTCTTCTCTGTACACCATGAATTTCAGCTCTAGCATGCTGTTCCTGGCCTGTATCAGCGTGGATAGATACAGGGCCACTTCTGAATCCCAGGGTCGTAGAAGAATTGGCAAACACTGCAGTGTTACCTGCATCTGTGTCTGGCTGTCTGCCATTTTCCTCAGTATCCCTGAAATGATATTTAATCAAGTCAAGAAACACAATGACAGGAATGAATGCCTTCCTGTATTTCCAATGAACATGGAAACACTCTTAAAAGCAACCATTCAAATCCTGGAAATTATCCTAGAATTTCTGCTTCCTTTCCTAGTAATGCTGATCTGCTATTCAGCTACTGCTCGAGCAATCTTTAGAGCTGCAAATGCTAAAAAATCTAGACCTTTCATCGTTCTGCTGGCAGTAGTGGTTACTTTCATTATTACCCAGCTACCTTACAACATTGTTAAATTCTGGCGAGCCATAGATGTAATCTACATGTTGATTACTGACTGTGATGCAAGTAAAACCATAGACGTCGCACTCCAGGTCACCAAGAGCATAGCTTTGTTTCACACCTGTCTGAACCCTCTTCTCTATGCTTTTCTGGGTGCCTCTTTTAAAATGCATATTATGAAAATCGCAAAAAATTATGGATACTGGAGAAGACAACAACAGAACAGAAGACCTGAAGAAATTTCTGTGAATTATGAAGACCATACTGAAGAAACAATTAGTTTCACTATATAGACTCTCCATTATTTTCATTATCTTATATAACCAAGGGAACTATTTACTACTTCTGGGGGTATTGTTTCAGCAGCTGATTGTCTGCAAGTCAACTTTAATATTAATTTCCGAACCTGCAGGCTAGCCAAGACACTACAGTGCAGTTCAAAGTGGAACATACTGATCAAAATTAAGCATCAGGCAAGAACTAAACACTGAAATTCCTAGAAACAGCTAGAGATATGTACTAAAAAAAACCCAAAACAACAACCTAAACCCAAAAAACCCACAACAAAACCCACTCCCCCCTCAAGATTTTAAATTAAAGGGTCACAGTACTAGGCACCTAAATAGCTGTGTAACGAACAATCTGTACATATGTAAACATACAATTAAAACCAAAAAAGAAAACCAATTAAAACAGAAAAATAAACCATCAGCAATAAACCAGCAGTACCAGAACTTTTGTATCAAAAGTTAATAATCTTGTTTCTCCAACTATTTTGCAAAACTTTAGAACATTTGCCTAATAAGTCAGTTCTATTTTTTTCCTCAGCTATCATTCCATAGATACACTTGCAGCTTGAAATGACGTATCAGTTCATGGCTGAGAATTAGGGAGAGGCAGGGGAAGCCATTCTCTATGGGTTTCCACAGATGTATAGCAACAAAAACATCCCCACGCAACACAGTAACTCCTCTGTAAATACCAAAAATGACCTTTCACCTCTCCTGCTCACCCTAAACTTCAGCACGCCCGGTACCCTATGGGAGGCCCATTCTAGATGCCTGTAAATGTCATGTCAAATGTAAATGCCAAAGTAGTGCAGTCAGAGCATTAGCAGAAATGTAAGAAAGTTAAGTTAATCTTCAGATACAGGGTCTGGAATTTCTAGTCAGAATTTGTAAAATGAATCAAACACTGCAATAACTGTAGCTGCTAAAATATATGGAGATACAATAAAATCAAAGAAGCGCACTGGCTGTCATTTATTCATAGCTTTATGTTTGTTTTGTTTTAGTAGGTATTGACATCTCTTGTCATCGGCATTTATCAGCCAGCAAAGGCTAGAGGCCCTGCTTGATGAATGAGAGAGGTTCTGACTCCATAGGGAGCTCATGGTCAGCGGGATTTACAGTTTTTCCACAGAGAGTTACCAAAGCTGTCCTGTGCTACAGTGCTGGTGAGGATTCCAGGAAAACAGCAGTTTTCCACAACTCTGTGGAAGCTTTTCTAATATATTGACATGTTAGCTTTCAAAATGAGAAAAGTGGTATTACAGCATACTGTCCCTGCCTTCAAACATCCCATGGGCTCTGACAAAATGGCTGATCTATGGCTTATGAAAGCCAACAAGAATCTCTCATTTTTAGACACTGTTCCTAGTTATACAATTATGGACTGGAAGAAAAAGCTCTGAAATGACAGACACATAACAACAGTAGCTTGAACAAGACACAAGCCTCTTCTCTCTGTTTGGATGACAAAAGCCTACAGAATTTCTGCCCCGTATTTTGAGAAATACTAGGGCCTGAATGGGTAAGTAAGTCAGAAGTGCTTGACAGGTGGTTTACACATACACCATGAATCTGACATGTTTAAGCCATACTGGATTTTACTGTAGATGTGCAAAGCGCTCATGCAGAGGATGGTAAGCAACTCCAGTTCTTCCACGAAGCAACTGACTCCTTGTGTGTGTGACTTATGATTTGTCTTCACAAATACAGAGTGATTGCACCCAGAGTGACATTCTGACCAGACTGTCAGGCTTCTGCAATTCCCAAACATCCAAGGTCCTAATGTCCCACTGTAGTAAAAATGAAAAAAAAAAAACCAAAAACCAAACACCAAACCAAACACCCAAAAAACCAACCAGGCAGAAAAGGAGACTCTGACTAAGGCAGAGCTGCATGCGTTTCTCAAGCTTCTTGAAATTGCACTGCCTTTTGTGTGTTTGTCTTTTTGCAAATCTGACTGTCCTAATTATTTTTATTAGAAATAAGACAAACCAAATCATGTTTACTCTCTTATGTTTACTCTCCTTTTTATAATTCACATAACTAATCTTATGAATAGTATTTTGTGTGTGTGACCTCCTACAAACTTTCCCATACTTCCTTAGGAACTACAATGCACAGCTGGGAGACACTGACCCAGAGCAAAGGTAGCAGCCAGCAGTTAAGTGACACTCTTAGGTCAAGAGACAAGATACCCTGCATCCTTTTGCCACCAGTTTTGCAGTACTAGAAAAGAGAACGAGCCCTATCTTCTGGTGAGTCTAGGTACTGCACAAGCATATATCAGTAGGTAGCTGCCACACTCAAAGGTACATAAATGAAACATTCAAGTTTCGCTCCAGTTAGCAATGCAGTTTATGTAGTTGGCTTCCAAACTCACAGGGAATGATGATTTTCCAGTTGTTGTCATGTATATTTCAGTAAAAATGTAATGGTATTATAACATCAAGGATATTTACCACTTACAGTCTAATCCATTAATTTTTCTTGGAAGTACAGTACAAGAAAATTACCTGTAAAAGTCAGTCCAACAGCATCACAGGCTAGTTTAAAAAGCAGCCAGATTTTACTGTAACTACACAGTATATTCAAACTTTACACACAAGCTGCCAAAGACAGCTTCGTAAAAACAAAGTTTAAAGGCTACAGCCATAAACATGTAAGTTACCCGACAGAAAGAGGTAACATTTAAAGAACAATAGTTGCGTTCATTCTGTGAACAGAACTCAGAGGTTCCAAAAAGGGCCCAAAACCCCAAATTCAAGTCTTGGACTTCGTTTCATAGAACAAAAGCTCAGTTCAGCTCTTTCCATTGTTTTACATTCTATTGCTGTTACCCAAGAAGACACAATTTTCCATCTCAGAAGTGGAGCACGAGTATTTTTGTTTTACCAGTTCTTGGAAAGAATTTTACAGTTAGCCATTCTTATTTAGGGTTTCTGTACTTACCACTGCTCCACCACTTCTTGCCATTGATGACATAACTGTTTCCATCTCGCTCAATGCTGCATTGCATATTGGTGGCATCACTTGAAGCCACATCAGGTTCTGTGTTAAAGAAAAAAAACCAAAACAAACCACTGGATTAAATATACAGGTAGTACTACCACAACAAATACAGGGTTCTAGTTATACTGTATTGACAGTAACACTGTTTTGCTTCCAGGAGAAAAGCTGTTTTCAGAACATTGCTCTGCTGGTGGTCAAAGGCTTTCTATTTTCTAACCACCTGTTATTCATAGTCAGTTTAAGCTTACTTCATCTTGGGCTCAGACTGCGTTTTATAGTCAAAAGCCTTCTTCCTTCCCTGGTGTTTTTAAATCCTTCCTCCTTCCAATGTACTTATAGATAACAGTCATATCTCTCCTCAGCCTTTTTTTTCCCCCTAGGATCTTCCCAAGTGAAAATAAAGCGATTTAAACTACTTTTGTGATGGTTTATGAAATAGGTTACACAAAGCAGTTGCCAGCAAAATGTCATCAATTATTGTTTGGAACAGGAAAGATTCTTCCTCTCTCCTTTCACCCTTAACTTCTTTTATAGGCCATCTTCTTTAAAGCAAAAGCATCTTTTTCCTCTTGGCAAACACAGTGAAACAAAAATTGCAAAACAAGGGTCCAGCTCTGAAAGACTGAGTTCTCTCAACTCCTGTTGACACCGAAAGATCAAGATTTTGACATCACATGTTCAAAAACTACCTTCCTAAATCAACAGGCAGGCCTTCCACAGATGCTGAATGCTACAAGCTGTCAAGAGCAAAAATGAACAGAGTGCTGAGCTACAGCCATAAAGCAAGCGCCTTGTATGTTTTGCAAGTTATCTTCAGGTTACATCTTAAAACCTCCACCCTGCGACATACTGCAAAACTACACAACTTTAATCACAATAATCACACTTGTACCTATATGTATGTTTCTAGAAAACCCCAAAGCACATTACAAAAAAGGGTATGTTCTATTGTAAATCTGTTTGGCACAACAAAATGTACGGAAAGCAGATACTAATTACTGTAACCATGAAAAATGGTAACTATTGGGGAAGAGCAAGAAGGATGCTTCACTTTGTACTTACACCTCATACATGATTTCATATTCAAACACATTCACAGATACAGTGGAAATTTCTGTATTAATTCATTAACCCATAACAACTTGTAGTTTTGTACTTTTTGCATATGCCATGTGAAATTTCTGCCAATTGCTTCTAATTTTCTTCTGGAGAAAAATTTACCTGTCATGCAGAAGCAAGAACTAATCTTCCCTTCTAGGAGAGGCTCCAGCCACTCTTTCTTTTGCTCTTCAGTCCCATATATGTGCAGGACCTCCATGTTTCCAGTGTCTGTAAGAAATCAGCAGGCATGTTTACTTCTCGAGACACATGACTTGTAAGGTGTAAGATGCCCAACTTTTCAATGCTCTCAGTGCTGTAGTTATGGGACAGGGTTGCTAACCTGGTGCATGACAGTTGAAAACCTCAGGAGCGAAGAAGCATTTCCCCGTCTCCTCAGCTATTAGTGCATAGTCAAGCTGGCTGAGACCACTGACATCTGGGAGAAAAAGGTTCCATAGACCTTCTGCTTTGGCCATTTCCTGAGGAAAGAATCAACAGAGAAAAACATTAGCAATAAATCTTAAAAAATGGGCTTGCTGCCCATTTTCTTCCTTCCTGCTTATCATACTGTCCAATATATCTGATGCCTTTTTTCAACAGCTATTTTCAATAGGTACAGTCTTTGACTTGAAGTTCAGACATACCCCTTACATAACTCACTTTTGCTTTTCTCCCCTCTCATTTATATCTCTCACCTTCCACATTTATATCTCTTCCTTTCCTTACACTGTTCCTCATGCTGTTTCCTTCCATGCAGAGTAACATTTCCAGCAGCATACACCAAACTTTCTTACAGTCCATGTCAGTGCCTGTTTCTTTTACTGCTGAAGAATATTTTCTTTTACTACTCAAGAATATTTATTATCCCATACCTTCAGTCTCTCAAGCACTGGTGGTTTTTTCCATTTTTCCTCAGTATTTCCTTGTCCAGCATAGTATTTTATTATTTCCTTAGAGAAATAATTAAAAAGATGCTTGTTTAAATTAAGAACACGTGACATACACAAGTAATAAAATGCTGTCTTTTCCAGGCCTACACCCCGAGAAACCAATAAAAAAATATTCAACACTGGCTTTTATTATATAGTTGGTTGCATTATAAAATTAAAACTGTAATTCATAATCAAGCTGCAATCTATTAATTTTGCCAGACTTCAAATGCATCATGGAAATGACCCCAGACAGTACCTTTTTTCATATAGGGAAATGGTTTGGGGTTGTTTAAAATATGTGATGATGATGGTAGAAGGTCAGCGCTTTCTGATGATATAAGTAACTGTTACCAACAGTACACACAAAAGTCATAAATCCAAAAGTAAAACAACAAATAAAAGCCAGATGTACTGACACTTAAGATTCAGGTTTCCCATCACAATGCTCATATATATAAGCCAGTTCATCTTTTTTTTAACTGAGAAAAAACGCAAAGAATACTTTTTTTTTCCCCGTCAAAGTTAATTCCTTAACATATTATGTAAACAATTAGTACTAAGTCAAACTGTGTATTCAGCAATCCTAGTATATTCACAAATCTGTTTTAGTTAGGCCCAGCACTTCATCAAAGCTGGCCCAGAGCTAGTTTTAGAATAAATAAAAGTAGCGTCCTCTTTTAAGACAAATTCCAAAGTAGAATTTACAAGCCCTGATTCACAATCCCTGTTATCAGAAATAAATTACAAGCACAACGCTACTCATCTGCGGAACTTGCATGGCTATTGGTGTTCCATTTGTTTTTAAAGCAAGTGCATTAATTATTGCAAGGCTTCCTTGGACAATCCAAAACTAATTAGAGAGACTTTGAGAAACTTTGCATACCAAGACTTTCTGCTCTCAACCTCTCCTTGTGATAGGCAGATGCATTAATCTTTTAGATTAATATGTCCTCTGCACTTCTGCCTGACTGCAAAGAGGAAAAAAAAATAAAAAAAAAACCAAAACCCCCCGTTCTGCTATAAAAGTCACCTGTGCTTTCATGAGGCTAAAAGTTGAACCAATTTTCTAAGTGGATAATTTCTAATCTCCCTAGGCTAAGAAGTAAAATTTTTTATCTTATTTTCCCTTCCACTAACTAGGGAATTCTGTGAATATTTCACTATCTGATTTCAAACTTTCACTGGTATTAGATGTACGCAGGAATGAGGTTACATTGATAGATTATGGAATCACACTGTCTGTCATAGAAGTCATACCTTAAAAAAATGAGGCAAGAAACAGAAATATTCAACTTTGTGCAGTTAAAACCAGCAGTTTCCATTTTTTTAACTAAGCATCTTTGTGTTTAGTACATAAGAGTTCTCGGGTTTTGTTAGTGTTAAAAGTATTTTGGCAAATACCTTAAAAAACTATCTCTTTTTAAAAGGAGATAAACTCTTAAACTTTTTAAAGTTTTAAAAGTAACTCATAGCTTTCATTAACAATGCATGCAACTTTAATTCTGAAAAAAAAATTAATGCAGTCTATAATGATTTCTGTCAATATTTTGCAATGCCACAATCATCACTGCATGAAAATAAGGCTGTTTAAAAAAAAGATAAAAAATGTAAAGGACATGACTTCTATACATAGCTTTAAGTTTTAATAACTCTACTCACAAAATGCTCATTTATAAATAGGTTTACTTTAAAAGCTTTTACCTTCTCAGCTGGATATATGTGCTGCTTCATGAACTGCTTGACTTTCAGCAGAATTTCTTGGCCTTTCCTACTTTGATGGAACAGCTCTCCAGAAATGCTATGATGTGTGCTGCCAAAAGATGACCTGAGGAAGAACATTTAATGCAATAAGAACTAATAAATGCCTGTATAAGGCAGCTTAAATTAAGTAAGTGAGTATGTTGTAAAAGCTTTGCCTTGCTTTTGACCAGTAGTTTAGACCACTCTTACCTTTCTGAGAGCTCTAGCCCTCTCTCTGCCAAAGGCTTCACAATCTTAGCAAATTCATGACTATTCTCTGCAGAAGCATTTCCAATGAGGTATCTAGCATATACACCCTAAAACCAAAAGAAACACGTGTATGGTATAATTATGCACTTATTTTTAGATTGGTGATTTCTTGAACTATGGAAGTGAAACATAAATGCACATATTCTTAGTAGGAAAAAAATAGCACCCAGACAGATTTACTGGATTATGTTAATATTGGGTTTGGTCCATTTCTCATATAAAGGAGATGCTTGGCACACAAGAAAAAAACCCCAACATATCCCAGCTAAATTAAACTAAATGAAAATCACAAAAATTAGTAGAGGAAAAAAAAAAAAGAAAAAAAAGAATACGTCTGCACATGATACTGCAAGCAAGCCCAGCCCAGCCCTTAAGCCAACTGACAACAATATACACATATGATTATTAGCCACAACCGCATTAACTACCCCCATATATACTCATACTTCAAATTAATACCAGGTAGCTTATCCCACATCTGGTATGCTGATCTCATGCTGCAACTCATAAAAATATACTTATGCCTTACAGTGGCTGAATATCTACTTAAACAGTTATTTCTGTTAACAATGAATCAATGAAACTTATTTTCTCCTATTACCACATCTCAAGATTGGCCTCCTATGCTCATATTAAGCCAAGTTCACAACACACTGTTTTTAATCTGTGGGTGGCACCAACAGGATCTTACTTATCTATCCTGCTACCTACTTTCATGAGAGCTGAAGAAACTTAGAAAGATCTTTGTTTCTCCGTAATACAGGATTTAAATTAGCCAGAGAGTCCAATGACAAAATTGCCTGCATACTGGAACATTAATAAGAAAAAATCCACATATCCGCATTCTTTTTTAGACTACTTTCCTAAGAAGTTAGCTATATCTAACGCAATGTACTTTATATAGCAAGAATTTTATCCTAGAGGGTTATTAGTCATAAGCATCTAAGATATGGCTTCTAAAGGAAAAAACTGAAATACAATCGTTACAGTTAAATATGATTCATATTTTGAACAAGTATTACCACACTACTCATAATAATCAAAATCCTCATAATAAAAATATGTGACATTTCAGAAAATGCAAGTGTATTACCTCGGATATTGCTGCCATTTTAAAATATGACAAAGCAAGAAAAAAATTAAAGTTGGATAAAGTAGTGCTAATACCCCGGCAGCGGCAGTAAATGGAAATCAGTTCTTCAAATGAAGGAGTTTCTACAAAAATACAACATAATATTTTAGTATAGTCAACACTTTCTATGATTTTTTCCACCTTATTCTTCAAACATTTGTACAGCTTTTCAATTTTGAGATATTCCATTTACATAGTAAAAACCATGATTTATCATTTCTCATGAGCTGTAATATGGAGAGCCAAAAGGAAATAAGAGCTGTCAGAATTCCAGATAAGCATAATGCTTCCTACTGCTCCCCACCTCCACGCCAGTCAGGAAATTTTATTTTTCTTCCATTATCTCTAAGAAAGGTTCAAATTAAACTTTTACAGAAGCAGCATACTGTGGCTAAGCCACAGCTTATTAAAACAAGACTACCTTAAACCTCACTGTCAGCATGTTTCCTACAACAAAGAAAACCATGGAAAAGTTCAAGTACAAAATTATACACTTATTAATTTAACTTTTTATTACTGTTTATAAAGGTAACATATCAAATAGAAATCAACTCTAGAATTCGTTTTAACAAAAAGATTACAGTTTCATACCTATGGTGTCTTTGAAACCCAAGACAGTTCCTTGACCCAAGTCCTTAATAGATGTAGGCCAAAAGTAGAATAGTGTGGCATATGCTAAATCTGCTAAAGGGTGACCCGCAGTTGAAAGTTCCCAGTCCAGCACTGCCAAAACACGAGCCTTAAATAAAAATAAAAACCTCAAGTAAATGCTAGAAGATAAATTCTCTCCATCCACAAATGCACAACACACTTAATATCCAACAGCTTTATTTGGTTACTATGTGTTTAAAATTAAAAACACACACTGTACCTGTCTACAGCAAAACCAGTTCCTGTGTAAGGATCTGTAGAAAATTAACAATCACATAGTGGCAGAAAACCAGGCATTTTTTCCAATGAAAACCTGATTTAAATTCTACATTTTTTGAGTTGTGTTCCTCCTGTCAGACACTTCTAAACTCTTCTAGTCAAAATACGATTGAATTAAAATATCTTAAAGAACAGTAATACTGACAGTTGGGGTTGTTTTTGTTTCCAGTCCTGTTACACAGATACTCATGGACAGATCATGCACTAAAAAGCCTCATTTATCACAATATTATGCATAGATTAACACTCACGTAGGGAATTGAATTTCTTAAACAGGACAGTCAGTCACTGCCCAGATAGTGACATGAGCCTCTGCTGCAAGTGTCCTTGCAATGGTGTCTTCAGCTGGATGGGCTGAGACTCTCCAAACTGTCATTCTGATGAATTCTTATAATCTAGCTGGTCTGTCATCCTGAACGACCCCTCCAGCCTACTCATGATCCATGGCCACTTGAACTATGTGCAAAAGAGTTTCCTATGTGGTCATTTCTGCATCTGCAGGAACAGTTTCTACAGCTTATTTAAAATTACCTATGTACAGTTTGGTCAATTCTTTCAACTACATCAGGAACAGCTGGAAGAGTCCCTGAGACCACCAGATTCTTTTCTTAGAGAGTCAACAGGCACATTTAAGCCTACAAACCGTGTCTATCAACTGATCTATGCACAACAGTGGGAATCTCTGGGATCTGTTGCTTTGTTGCGAAGCAAGCATTGCAGAGTCTTGGTCACAAATCCCAGGCGTATCTTCTGCTCACAACACATCAAACAGCATGGAAAAAAATAATGACAATGCAGTTGTGTCGATACATAGGTAACAGACATTTATTTACACAAACTAGAAAAAAAGTCTCTTCCTTTTCCCTAAAGATGAATGAGGAACTTTCAGGGTCTCTGTGATCTATGTGTGTTCCATAAGTAAGCAGCTTTGGCAGGTTTTTCTTTGCTTCCACTAGTACCACATCATGCATTCAGATCCTGTTCCAAAAGCCATTGTTGTTAATTGAAGCCATATCACAGATTTCAATGGGCTTTGGATCAGATGTTTATGTAGCTTAATGAAGTGAGCCTTCAGTACATCCTTAAGTTGCACTGAATTCAAGAGGACTTATGCATATAAAATGTTTTGTTCCTGGACTTTGAAGTAGGGACTAAAGCTAATGAATAAACTGAGTAACTAGCTCCTGAAATGAAAACCGGGACTGTATTAGGTACCTAAACACCATACACAGAGTATAGAGAAGAGTTAAGTTCTCTACTGTTCCTTTCAAAGATGTGTCATGCACTAAAACACCCATGTAAGTGTCCCATTACATGGTAGGAGTGCAAACAAATGGAGGACCAAAAACTACTACATGTATAAATATGTTTCAAATACCTCTGTTGGGTGGAAGATGATGTTATCTATTCTAAAGTCCCCATGAATCAGGCTTTCTTCATTATCATCAGGTGGCAAGTTGTTTGCTAACCATTCAGCCAGCTTGTTCATGGCAGGAATATCTGTATGAGCAGCTGCATCATACTGTCTTTTCCACGTTGATACCTAAAGAAATACAAACAATTCAACAGATTTTCCAACTGATTCACAAGTTTTTCCAAGAGCACAAAATTCTGAAGCATATGCTTCCGGGCTTTGACTATTACCATGTTACCTGTAAATTCAGTAAAACCCAGTACCTTTGCATTTGCAAATGTGAACTGTGAGATCAAAAGATGCAATGAAGACTACCTCTATTTTCTATTTCAGTCCTATTTACATAGCCCAAATCTAATATTATTCCAAAAGTGAATGAATATCATTCCCTAAGTATAGCATTACAGAATTGATGTGAATGTAGGAGTAACTTTTTACAGTGCACAAATAATTGAACGAAGTGAAGGTGTTTAATAGCTAAAATATGATGGTTACTTTTACAAGTCATGAATAATTAACAATTTAGCTTGCAAATCAAATAAACCTTCAAAGACCTGCCAAAACAAGAGAATTTTTTGAAGAGCTGTACCTGTCTTCTGCAGTAACCTGGTCCTCTACCATATCCTTGGAGACCCAGTGACTGTAAATCAAAGGAGTGCAACAGGGCCAAGGTTTCTATCATTGCAACATACAAAGCAGAACGCTCTGCTGGGCCCACTTCAGGCAGCGAGAGGTCTCGGAAGATGCGACCCTAGAAACATCGCAAAACAGGCATTTGGTGGGATGTATGCATCAGGTGAAGAGAAGTAAAGCTATACGTTTCAGGAGCAAAAACAAATGCAGTGAACCAACACTCCCTATGCAATCAAAAATTCCTTCCTCATTTATTTTATTCCTTGCCCAGGACAGATAAAGGGATTCACAGTAATCTCAGATCATTAGTATACGGGCTACCTATTGGAAGGTAATTAAAGTAACAGATATATTTAGTAGATGGAAGTCTGAATTAGAGCACTCAATCCAGATATCCTAAAACTTGAAAGTAGCAGGAAAAAAAATGTTACTGTGTTGTCTCCAACAGCTAACTTCCAGAAAAAAAAAACAATGAAGACCTTAGGAGGGGGGAGGGAAGGGACAGGCAGGAAGAGGAGGGGAATGGGTGGAATGTACGTACAAAGAGGCAAACAATCCAAAGAAATTTACTTGCGTTCTCCTTAAAAGCAGTTTAATATGTTTAGAAAATGTGTGTGTTTTTTCCATTTAATTTTGATCCTGCCAGTAACATATTGGAAAAGAAAAAAACCAAGGCTCTTCTCTAAGTTCCTCAATTTCACCGGTTCACTTGATGGCTTCAATATATTTACATAGCTAAAGCATCAATAGAACTTTTTTGCAGAAAGATTCCGCATAATAAATCTAGAGAACAGATTTTGTATTGTGTAATAGTTTATTCAACACAATAAATATATGATAGTTTTCTAAATACACAATGTATTTGTTAAAAACAGTGCACTGCTGACCATCTTAGACTGTAAATTTACATCCTTAGAAATGCAAATATTTCAGTAGCAAGATTTCTTATTAAGGAATCACTTTGTTCTAGTCAAAACCAGAAAATTTCTTCATCTTTAATGTAAGAAAATAGCTTCAAATTCTTCATAGCTTTTAGATTTCACTACTCTTTATTCATGGTTTTCGTAGGAAGGTTAACTTAATCTCCCAGAACTGTGTTTGTGGACACACACTCCTACATTTCTAATTTCTCAGTGAAGCCGATGATAGAGTAGGATGCAATGAAAGGGAAGAGGCTGGAATTCAAATCCTCCTCCCACAAGAAAAAGAAAAAAAAAAAAAACAAAAAACCAAACATGATACAGCAGACTTACACTCAGAAGCACCAAAATCTAACAGAAACAAAATCAGCTCAGCTCCACCACTCCCAGAGCAATGAACCACAGAGTTCTTTCTCAAACTAGTGCTTGAGCTGGAATCCTGCTTGGTTTTCAGGAAAAGGTGATTGTATGTAGATTCCTATCTTCAGTACTAAAGAGGTTGCAGGATGCCCAAAGATTCAGTATAACTTTATAGCCTGATTGTTCTCCCTCTGACTTATGTATGCTTTTCACAGAAGCAACATTGCCTTGTTTCAGGACATCCTTCTGAGAGCTCAAACAAGAATAAGAGGTTAAATACTGAGCTGAAAATTTCAAAAACGTGGGAAATGAGTCCTGGAGAAGCTGAAATCAGTGAGAATCTTTGATAGCTAGCATTTCTTAAGAACATCAGAGAATTATTTATGTTTATATCACAAAACTTAGTAAATGCTGGGTAAGGCTCTAGCAGAAAGGTTCAGACAATTTAAAAGCAGCTTGTAGTAGGGAGAAGAAAAAAAATCTTTCAAATTGAAGGACAAACCTGCACATGCTGCATTACATAAAATTCTGTTCCAATGATAGAAACGTCACTGCAATACAAGAGCGGCTCAGGCACTGGAAATCCAGCTGAAAATAAGGCTTTCTGCACACGATACTCTCTATCAACCTGAAGAAGACACAGAAATTTAAGTTTAATGAAAAGCTCCCAAACAAAAATGAGTATAATGAATGACAATGTATCCTCTTAAATGTTTAGTTACATAAATATAGCACAGAAAATTGGAAATGATCCAGGAACTCACTGCATTTCTGGACACATTCAACAATGTACCGCACCATCATGTATAGGACTTAGCCACCTGCAATAGAAAGTGTTTGGAGGTTGATAAAGAAAGTTACTTGCCTCGTGAGCTCTAGGTAAAAGGGGGCCATGGGGCTTCTTCCTGAGCACATAAGCCTGCCCACCCTTCTGAAGATAAAAGGTTGGATTTGACTGGCCTGAGCTACAAAGAGAAGGATTATAATTACTTACAAATTCAAGTACTTATAATTTGCAAACTTCTAACAGAAATGATGCAAAACGCAGTGTGTCTTGGACTGAAGAAAATGGCAAGACAGAGGAAAGGGTTCTTCTCAAGAGTTGGAGAGGTTTTTTTCAAATATAGTCTTACAAGGATGCAGTGATAGCCTGAGTCGGAGGTTCTGTTCCTACCTATAAGATGCTTTCTTTCAGTGTGGAGAGGTCACAGACATTCAATTTGTTCTCCCGTGAAATGGAGATAGCATTTACCTCTCCTCCCTAAAGAGACATCATTAATGTTTCCAAAGTATGCAGTAGATACTAACATTAAAGCTTTCAGATTTGGAGAAAATTAAATAGAGCGGAATTCACAGTAGCCCATAATTGTATTTGTCCTTTGGTGAGCTGTATTTTGAACAATGTAAGCATAGAGAAAGCTCTCCAAATAACTGATGGTTCTAGTACCAAGCCACACTGTATGCTAGCCTGATCACCACATACTTATGGAACTTAAGGGACTGCCTATAGTAACTGGAAAATTTTAAAGAATGAAAGTTGTAGTGACAAAGAATCATAGAAATTAGACATTTCAATCATATGCATGTGTAAAAGAGAAGGACAACCTATTTAAACCCTTCATAATACCTTGTCTATCATATCCCTATCAAGCTCATTGATCCTTATTTTCCTCAAGGCTCTGAGCTAACCTACGTGCCTTTCTCTCCCCACTCTGGAACATTTTTTAAGTGCATTCTGACCTAGTCCAATGAAAGACTAGACAACTATGAGAAACTCAAAATCAAGTGTCATGGTCCCCACGACATTTCCATTCTCCCTGCAGAAACTCAAAATCAAGTGAACTTTTGCTGTCATGGTCCCCACGACATTTCCATTCTCCCTGAGGCAGTAAGGGCATAGTGTGTAATACAGTTCAACAAGTATACTGCACAGACAAATACTCTGCCTGGGACAACAGAGATTTAGATTGGATGAAGCTTCGAAGTGCAACCACAAGACAAACAAAGTAGTAAAACATAAATACCAACAATATTTTAGCAGATTTTACTATTAGCTACTCTCCTGAGGCCCCTCCTAAAGCCTCCTCAACTGAAGTACATATGAGAATTAGAGTACAGCTGAGGATTGAACGGATGCTTTATATGTGTATCAGAAGACAATGAAAAATTTTTTACTGTTTCTTAGTGATAGCTGCAGATAAAGCAGTCGAGGTCATGAATACAAAGGAATTAGTGTTTCTAGAATAACTTAACTTCCAATAGTTAGCTCCCAATTTGAAAGTCACACAGCCACACCACTAATTTGCTGAATGCAAATGAACTAGATGTTCTGTGGAACAGCAGCTTTGGAGCCTGGGTGTAGCACCTCACTGGCGCAATGCGTTGCTCTCAGGGCATTAATGGGAATCCCAGCACAGCGTGACGCTGTTCTCATGGATTTGTTTGCCTGGCAGTAGCCAAAGGCTTTTAAAATTGATTTCTCAAGCCACATATGTGCTTCTGAAGATTATTTGCTGTTGGCAATTACAGAGCCATCAGATAAACCGAGATTTGTGAGCAGGCAATAAAACAGTTGTGCACATATTCCAACAGGGCGCACCATGGCGGGCCAAATACGCGTTTTTCTGCGGACAGCGGGAAGCCCGCCCAACACATCGCCTGCCTGCAGACGGCCAACTGCAGGGTCTGCCGGTGCCGAAGGTCACCCTCGCCGCCACCACGAACTTTGGCTCCGCCAGCCGCCCGAGGGACGGGCCGCTGCCCGCCATCGCCAGGGCACAGGGGCCCAGC